AGCCAGATGACTGACAGGTGAATGCGGAAGTGATGTAATACACATCACTTCTGCATTCACAGCCCGGAGGGAGATCAGCAAGGAGCTGATCTCCCGTCCTCTTCCTCCTGACGCCCTCCAAGCCGGTCCCGGGCCGCAGATGGGGCAGCGGATCCCGGGATTGAAGGTGAGGGGTCGGGGGGGCGAAAAAACGAGCACATATAGACGATCGGCGGGCTATGGAGCCGCCGATCGTCTATATGTGAAACACCCGGTAACAGGTGTTTGCATTGGTCGGGTCTTTTCTGCCCGTGCGTGCCGTCTGGAGACGGCAACCCCCCAATGCTTCAGTGCCGTCCGTCCGTTTTTTTTACAAAGGGCGGACGGCAAGTGGTTAAAACAGTACCCAACTGCCTTTTTTTTTTGTAATAAAGCAGTCCTTCAGCTCCAGTCATGTGATTGTGCCTAGGAAGAGGAACATCTTGAGAAAATTATGTTATCAGTCTTTTGCTGGCAGGAGGAAGCATTTTTATCATTAACAACTGCACTTAGTGATCATTCACTGGCACTGTTGAAAATTGTAACTTTCTGGCAGCTCACAAGCTAAGAGACACTAGCAGGAGATTGATCTGTTTGCGACATGTATACAATGTCTATTTTAGGACATAACTCACAATTCTCCACACACCTCCTGCAAACTTTGTCCCTCCCACTCCGAAACTCTGTAAGTCCTCTTTCAAAAAGAAATCAATTGTCATATATCCTCCTAATTTTTTTCCCAAGCATTGATCATTTGTTGCTTATTCTCCTTGCATGTCTCCCCTATCAGGGGTGTATCTACTGCAAGGCAAACTAGGCATTTGCCTAGGGCAGCACTTTCCAGGGGGGACGCCAAAAAATGCTGTCCCCAAACCAGTTAGGTATGTATCTATATAGCATTTTCCTCTGTGCATGCCCAGTCTTTTTTATTATTTCAACCAGGCTTTACTTTCCCATTGGGTTCTGATTTAAGGGTCTCTTTAAATGTAAGAACCACAAAGAAAAATTAGTGTCTCCATGCCTCATGTGCATGCCCATTAATGTGGTAACATTACTTTAAACTGTGTTTCCCACATCATCTATCTCCTTCGTTCATCACCTATCACTGGCATTGGTGCCATAATGCCTATTTAAGGAACATGGCTGAAAAATGAAAGTTGCTGGATGGTCCTCAGCTATACACCTGTGACCTGATTCTGTAATGATGCCTCTCCATTACTGACCCAGCTTGCCTCTGGACCTGCTTATACTCTGCCTGACCACTACTGACTTTGCCTGCTTTTTCTAAAACTTTTCTCCTGCCCATTAGTCTTTCTAAATTTTGCTCCTTCTGCTCTTCGACCACGACTCTTTCTGCTGTACTGTTTTCTAACTGGCTGATCCATTACTGATTTTAGCTTATTGTTTCAGGAACAGTTGCAGCTGCTGCCTTGTTCCTGATTCGCCTGTCTACTGCTGACTGCTGCTTGTACTATACTATGGCTGTGCACTACTTTGCTGGCCTGCCCTCCATCTCTGACCCCAGTGGTGTTCCAATTTTGGTATCACTGCATTCTCTGCATAAGTCCTTTACTGCCATATTATCTTCCCTCAGATAATTCCACTATCTACAGAGGTGGGGATTTTCGATTCAAGACTTTTAGCACTTGTGCCACTCTTCACCCTCACAAGCCATGTAATTATTTCCAAGGGTGTTTGGACTGTAGTTGCATGGAAGACCCCCTTGTCTCTTTAGTCTTTATCAGGTTTATCAATTACATCTCTGCACTCTGAATTAAAATAGGTTTATAGGTGGAACCTTTTGCTCTCTAACACTTGAAATAGACTTGGCATAGGATATATGTTGCGAGTACTGTTTCCCAACAGCTCACTGAAAGAACTACATCAGAAGATGATACATGCACTCTTCCTGTGTTACTTACACTATACCCCAGTTTTCTTGCCAAGAACAAGTAGTGAGTGGGCAGAGGCATAAAGGGTAATGCTTCAGATCTTTGGCCATGACTGTGATGCTGTCCTATAAAAAGAATATTCCTTGAGTTGTGAAGTGACTTTCCAGCAGTAACAGAGGAACCTTTAACACCAGTACAATCTAATCTAAAACTAATAGTGCAAAAATATCTGTATTAACATATAACAACCAATTATAGGTAGTTTAGTTTAATGTTGCTGGTGTAAAGTAATAGTCATCTATTGTTGGTTAATACCCATCACTGCACCATTAATGAGGTACATTTGTTTTTAGTGGAATAAAATGTATGTGGTTGTTTTTGGTGCATATTATCATATCACACCTAAAACCTAATTTACTAAAACAGAAAAAAAAGTATAAATCCTACAAATCTAATACTAAATAAATAAGTTACCTTTAACCCCAGCCTAAAGGTCAAGTTAACTTCTAACCATAAACTTCACCCTACTAAATTGCTAAACGATGTTCAATTCCTAAAACTTAATCCTACCTCTTAATGTAAACTTTAACCCAAACTTGTTCCTAAATATAACTACTAACCATTTTTATAAAGTAAATCACCAATTTTTTGTTTTTGTCCTGGATACAACTAATCCCTGATTATTGGACAACTTCTGGAATCCACAAATTGCACTGGTGCTGGTAAGGATAAAGTGTAGTATATTTGTGCTCTTACTGCTGCTTCAAAACCATGGTCCCGGATCACTGCTGCTAAAATGTAAAACTGTATGGGCAAATGTAAAACACCAAGGGAAAGAGAGAAGCAGATATGTCAAGTGGTAGCTAGGCTGCATACAGTTACAGAGATGGGTATCATTACATTCTGTATTCCTCCCCTATTTTACAGGGTAATTACTGGAGCTGCACTTTATATAAACCTCTATATAATATATGCTTCTGATAAAGAACAATACAGTATACTAAGAGGCTTTTCAAAAAGGCTACATTTAAAATCCTTACATTCGCTTTATTTTATGGGAATATTGCTATTTATATGGGAATGTTGTGATGTTGTTGTTTTTTTTTAGGTGGTATATGTAACGTCATTAATGCATCACTTGCATTCATACCCTATAGAGCAGTACTTCTTCTCCCCGCTTCTTTGTCATGAGAAGAATTTGTTCATGTAGGTTGTATTTCTGCACCTGCAGATGGCATGCTTCCCCTTGCAGTGGTCGTATTTGTTCTCTTAGTCTTAGCAATTCATCCTGTGCATCTCTGACAGCCTGTGCTTCCTTTTCAACACGCTCCAACAGTTGTAGCAGTTTAGGTCCATATTCATCTTGTAGAGAATTGTGCTGTTCCTCAGTCAAACTTTGTAGATCTGCAGACAGTCTCCTTCTCTCCTGAAGTTCATGTGAGATCCGTCTACTGCGTGGAGCTCTAAGGCGCAGCTCTTCTCCCTCTCTCTCCTGAGTAAAGGTATCTCGAAGTTGGGTAAGCTCCTCTGTCAAGCGGGCTGCACGAATCTCTAGCTCTTCTCTTTCTGCTTTTCTCTGAGCTAGCTCTTGTCTGCGATTTTCAAGTTGGTATTGGCAAGCCACACATTCCTTAGTCACCCGGAAGAGCCTACTGCGTGCACCCTTTATTTCTTCCCTTAGCGTATCCCTCTCGAGCTCTACTCTGGCACGTTGTCCGAAGGCCTGCACAACTTCCTCATGTGCCCTCTGTACAGCCTCTAAAGAAGGCTCCCGCAGCACGGTCAGTTCACTTATAAGTTCATCACGTTCCCTTTCTAGGTCTTCTACAGCAGCAATACAAAACTGAAATCTTGCTCCTATGTCGTCTAGAGAAATAAGTCCTTCAGTGTCTGGAGAGGTGGGGCTGGACTCTAGGAGCTCCCTGGAAAATGGGGAAAAAAAAAACATTGTACGTTTTACTGCAAAGACTGCATGGACACAAATTAATGCAATGTCTGTGGGGTGCACCTTGGCTGCTCATGCTACAACTTGGCTGCTATGTCTACAACAGGCAAGGATATTTCTAATTGGGGGTTACCCAATGTTGGATCAAGTAGTAATGATAGCTATATGGTGGAGCAGCTAGGTAAGAACACCATCATAGGCAAAAATAAAAACAGATTTGCTGAATGTGGAACATTCACAGGCTTCATACCACTCAGAATTCAAATAATACTGTATGTACATTGACTTCTGTCCTTTTTAGGTTAGTTGTGTTTTATTCAACCATAGATACCATTGGCATGCCATTAATCCTAATGGACATCACATGACTTTACAGCCTGATATATGAGCTAAGCATTTAGGAAATTACATATATTCTAAAGTTACTGAATTCCAGGTTGGATGGTAACGATTATGATTTGCTGTGCAGAATAGCCAGGCTTGGTATTTTAAAGTGATTAAAAAGGTATAATTGCAGATAATTTGGAGTTGCACGAACAGTGGTTTAGATTCATCTAAACAGGTGGATGCTAATTAATAAAACTCTAATCCAAATTAAAGCTGGAAGGCCATAGACAAAAAAGAAACTTGATACTGGTCTATAGGAGATCAGATCAAAAGCAGTTATAGAGGGTCGGAGTATCCGCTTTTACTTTTAAAAAATCACTGTATTTTATATAGCACTGTGAACTACACACAAATGATTGTCATAAACCACCAAACCACCACCTTATATCTACTTAAAAAGTTATTTGCAAATAACATTAACTCACTCACATCACACAATCATACGGACTGGCTGATTAATCTCTAAAAGGAGAACTATGGGGTTAGGGCATTTCCCCATAGTTCTCCTAAGGGTAACGGGAGGACACAAACTAGCGTCCTCCCATCCCCCGAAAGCTCAGTATACTGAGACACCGCAGCTGAAACGGATCCTGACAATTATGTCTGGATCCGCCCAGTGGCGTGAGTGACAGCTGGCTCTGCCTATCTAGAGGCAGAGCCAGCTGTACCCTCCCCCGTCCATTCCGCCAGTCAACGCTGGAGGATCGGAGCGGGGAGGGAGGAATCCAGCCCCTCCCCTGTCACAGCTCTCTGCCGTGACAGGATCGAGAAGTGAGCGAACGCCGGTATGTGTTCGCTCACTTCCCGACCTACTGAGCTGACCTGTGACAGTCTCACTGTTACAGGTCGGCTAGAACTATGAGGATGAGTGAAAAGCACTCACCTCATAGTTCTCCTTTAATTGCATGCCGGTGGAGCTCAAAGAGTGAGGTGTCTGAGATACTTTTAGAGTGCATTTGGAGACAGAAAAAACAATCCCATCAATAATGTGAAACAAAGTAAATCTTTTCTCCTGGTAAACCAAACATAAGAAGACACTGTTACTCAAGAGACTATGAGGTGTCAGAATCTGAGCTTTATAAGCATTATGGCAGTCTGATTTGCACAGATCTGAAATAAAGTCTCCCGGTGTTATACAATAAATCACTTGCTTATATGTTCCTCGTAGGAGGTCTATTGGATTGTCTGGTTTATGATTTTTAATCCAGTTTGATTAATCTACTTGGAGATTTAACACTTAAGAATTCCGTTTAGGGAACGATCCCGTGTATAACAAACAGTAGAAAGTTCACAGAAGGAATCTTCAGGAACAGTCCAAAAACTGGAGATTCAAGTACTTGCATATATTATTTTTTAGGGTTTAGAGCCGGATATCCACATATACCGGACCATCCATGTTGCTCTGACCTTAATCAGCCGAGATATAGGGAATTACACTTTCCACTATGTGGTTAGAAAATTCAAACCTTTGCTTGCAGGAGATCGATCGGCTTGATAGTGGTTTTTCTGTGGAGTCTGAGTTAGTACATTCCAGCTCCTTTCACCGGTGTTTGTTACCTGACAAGCAGGTGTATCATCAGCAGTACGTCCATAGCCAACAAGGCCATAGACCCCTGGTGCCCAGCCTTGCAGTCCTTTGCACACTTATTGTGTGGCCCTTGGGATCCCAGTAGTCTGTGTTTTGGTGCTTACTCAAGCCATTGAAAATACATATTCTTTAGACTTACTTCTAGTAGTTCTTTCACACTATGTTACTTTTTTCAGTGCTGTCCATCCCTTTTTTCTTTGTTTGTATTTATACTCTGATTTTTTAATTTTATGGGTGCTGTTGGGAGCACAAACGTGAAACCATTTGTAATAGCACTAATCTCTAGCAGTCTCATATAACAGGTCTCCAATCTATGACAGTTTCCTGAAGTATTACCCCAGGCTTCAACAACTCCTATAGCATATTCGCAGTCTCTGACCGTCTCCTGTAGCATCCCTCTCCGTCTCCTGTAGCATGCCCATAGTCTTTGGACAGTTTCTGTTACATGTCTGCCAGTGGCGTTAACAGTGTTATGGTCACCTGGGGCAGAACCAAATTTTGCGCCCCCAATCTCCATTATATCACCCCCCAATTCACCTCAGCAAGCGGCCGAAAATTTGCCTGCTTAATTGTGTTCAGCCACTAATTGTGTTCGCTGCCAGGTCCCCCCTCATCTCTGCACCCAGGGCCCCCGCAGAGTCGTCTACCCCAGGTTGGTGCAACCCTGCGGGCATGGTAGTAGACCTGAAACTGGCTCAGTTTCCTTCTAACTCTCTACAGACCAAACCCAGCGTCGCCTGCACAATGCCGGCACACTTCACACACCCAGCCATACCTGCACTACGCTGCACAATGTCTTCACACTTCACACACCCAGCCTCACCTGCACCGTGCCTAAAATTCTGCTTCAATGCAATAGCTCTGCTATAACATTTCATATGCAAGAGAGGGATTTTATTTATTCCAAATTCTTATTGTGTATTGCTCCCATCAGCTTCCCCCTGCACAGATATTTTCTAGCAACAAGACAACAATCTAAGCACCAGCAGAAAAATTTGTCACTGAGGCAGGTAACTCTGCAGTTAACATTTTACACTCATAAAGAAGCCACCACAGAAACATGCACCATTCACAGCATCTGACTTTTAAGAAATTTCTGTGACACACCCAGGCAGGAATGCAACAGAGTTTAACATTGCAGTAGCCCTCACAGAGGCAAAGATTCTTTCATTTCTGTTTAGAATGTGTATTGCTGTAAACTCCAGACAATTTATGGCCAGGCAATTTTATATAATTCTGGCTAGTGAAGGGTTCTGACATCCTGCACCGTTTCTAGCTTCAACTATTTTAATAGTATTTATGATGGCTCTGCTTTCCATCTAACTTTGTCTGCTTTGTGCCCTAATCTGAGCTGTGTTCTAGTGGGGCATTTTATGAAGCTGTCTCTGGCTTTTCCATAAAATTGCAATCTGATTAGTTTTTGTTACGAATTATGATGACATGGGGGTGGTACTGTGTGCAGTCCAACCTACCCATTCTCTCCACACAGGTTGGGGCTGTCAGACCTTATTATAATCACATGTGCGGTGATACTATTTGGCTTTGTTATATTATTATACTATTTGTTATATTTATTATAACAATAAAGGCTTTCTTATTTAGAAACTATAAGAGGTTGCTGGGTGTTCTGTGAGCAGCAGCAGCAGCAGCAGCAGCAGCATAACCCATCAACTGATGGTACCTGCATAGTTCTTAGGCTGATGTCACTCAGCAGAGTCAACAGCATAGGATCCGTGCAGCCCTTTTTTTTTCCATTAATCTAAGGGGCATTCTTCCTCCTCCTGACAACCAACGTATGGGGCCCTTCTGTAAATGATTATAACTGTAAAGAGGTGCCTTTCCCACATATATGAAAATAAATGTAAGTGTCTTCTCAGCTGACCACCAATGTAAGGGAGTCCTTTTCCACTGGCCACCAGTATAAGGGGGGCACTCCTCCACTGAACACTGATTGTCCATTAATGTAAAGGGGTCCTTCTCTACTGGGCACCAACGTGATTGGCAGCGGCCCTGCTCTATTACTACCAAAGTAAGGGGCCTTGCTTCTCTGACTGCCAGTGCGGGGCCCTGCTGCACTGATTACAGGGTGCAGCAATGTAAGGGGCCCTGCTCATCTGACTACCATGTAAAAGCCTCTCTACTGACTAAGGGTTCACTCTCACGGACGCAAATACAGGCGTATGGGCATACAGCGTAAAATACAACTGTGTTTGCAGCCCCCAGGAGTCCTGCCTGGGGTATATTTGTGTCCAAAGGACTATATGAACACAATACGCTGTACACAGGTGTACATGTGTAAATGCAAGTATCGGCAGTTACATTCGTACATGTATGGGTGTAAGTTGCTGATCGTGAAACGTCCTGCTATGTTTTGCCACCCAGTCACATGCTCACCCAATAGAGCCTACTGGCAAGCATCCTGACAGCATCAGAAAACCCACCCTGAGAAATGCCATGCAGTCATTGTTAGATTGAATGCATGTAGGCCGGAAATGGCAGCACACAAAGGCTGCAGGAGATCAGAAGCACTGGGATGCAACATAGGTATGATGTTTTGTTATGATACACGGTGCTTTAGCAGACGAAATGTCATTGAGTTAGGGTGTTTGTTGGGTATCGTTTTACTCGTTGTAACCTCATCTTTTATATTTCATTAAAAAAATGGGTAATTTGTTGTGTTTTGGGGCATTTAATTAAATTTGTCACTAAATTTTGGGGTTTAATAAGGAGTTGCGCTAATATTGCGCAACATAAAAATTTTCAACTACCACCATTTTATTCTATAGGGTCTTGGCATTCAGAAAATATATAATGTTGGGGGGTTTTACGTCATTTTCAGGCCTAAAATGTGGAATATAACATGGGTGCAAAAATGGAAAAAAGGGCCTCAGTCATGAAGGGGTTAAAGAAGAACTCCCGACAGCAATAATATTAACCCTTGCAATGGAGCTACCACCACACTACAAGGTTTAAGTACTCATCTTCGTCTAGGGTGTAAAATAGAATAGATTTACTTACCCGCACCAGTGATGGAATATCCCTCAATGTATTGGACGTGATGATTCACAGGACCTTAGACTGCTTGAATGGAGGGGGAGCGAAGATGAAGGGGCCAGTTGGCGCTTTTCGATCGTACGAGAATCGTGCAGTTTATGGAAGGCATGCGACCGTTTCCACTATACGGTCGCACGTCTTCCGTCGAACCAGCATGCTAGAAAACCCGCCAGGAATTGTACGATTCTCGGCGAGTTAGTGGCCTGCTGGTTCGACAACTGCCGAACGGGCCGGTGTGCACACGCGCACACTGCCCGTTTGCAGTCATCGTAAGCCCGCCCCTCATTACAGTCATCGTAAGCCATCCCCTAGGGTCTTGCGATGGTTGTACAGTGTATGGCCACCTTTAGAAAGGTATCAAAAAATCTTTTAAAAGGCAACATTGCTATCAGTTGGATATCACTGCCCTAAATAACTTATAAATATGTACATACAGACAAGCTGCCCCTCGTGCTTCATGTAACCATCTGCTTTGCTTGTCTATTATTCTAGCCATCTTTACAAGCTTTAAATATCGTGTTGTGCAAATTTGCCTGAGACTTTTTAGCATCTGCTGTATTCATTTTCTTAAAATGTCTTTACGCTAGAATATATATTATAAAACTTCGGCTTTTATTGTAAATACAAGTTATTCTTACGTCATTTCATAGGTATATTGAGAGGAATTTATCAAAACTGGAGCAAACAGAATTTGGAGTAGTTGTGCATGGCAACCAATCAGTTTCTCTTTATCATTTTCAAAGCTAAACAAACTGAAGAGAGACGCTGATTGGTTGCAATAGGCAACTGCCTCACATTCTGTCAGCTCCAGTTTTGACGAATTCCCCCCACAGTTTCTTTCTCCCCGCACTCAATGCTGTTAAGGTCGACATACCGGGGGAAGACTGGAGCAGACAAAATCTGGAGCAGATTTGCACAGCAACCAAAACAGCTTCTATCTCTCATTTTCAAATTTAAACTGAGCAAACTGAAGAGAGATGCTGATTGGTTGCCATGGGCAACTGCTCCAGATTTTGTCTGCTCCAGTTTTGATTAATTCCCCTCAAAGTATATTTGTAGTATAAAATGCTCAAATACCCCATCCACACTTAACAGCGTGGGGGAATCTCCCCTGCAAGACTATTGTATTCTGACAGCCAGCGCCTGCAACTGCAATCACTGTTTCACTGTAAATTGGTGTGGATACTCTGACAAAAGTTGAGTGGTGCCCAGACTTGAATTCCGTCCGAGTTAGCAGGACTCAAGCACTGTGTGGCTAGCTTTAGCTGAACCTTATTTGCTTATGTCTCCACTGGATGACCCATTAGTGTGATCACATTCCTCGCTCCCCTATACAGTTAATATCTGTGTCTTAATTTACTGAAGACTAACAGCAGAATATATGCCTGCAGAGCTTCATTCATTGTCGCTGGTGGTCTGTGCCGTGTCAGCAACCTGTGTGATTAACATTGAGAAGATCCAGAGTGAAAATATAAAACCTAAACAAGCCAAGTAATGATAATAAAAGCTTCGAGCTGTTATATTGTGAAAAGAGACATCACATGCCCAGCCTATTCTAACTGATATATGTATATCATGTTAATTGTGTACAGTATTATACAGAAAAATGTCCCACAGTCTTGTGATTCTATTTTACCTCCGTTTTTCCCCCATATCACTCCTCTAGCCCTGTGCTGATGTTTCATGCACCTTATTTCTATACTCCACTTGTCCTGTGAACACACACTTCTACCATGCTGCTACCACACGTGGTACTTAACTTCTTTTTTTATTCCATGCAATTGCATCTGCCATATTTTAATGCTGCTGCACTATATAGAATCTTACCTCCCTCCTTGGGAGTTTTCTCCTTCCTCCTCTGCACTGGACATATCATCTGCACAAACTGACTCTTCTGTTAATAATAACGGTATGAAGAGGTTGTGGGTGAAGCCTCCCCCCTCACAGACTGGACAAGTCTGCCACGTTATGATTCACATGCAGCACGCAAACTTGGGCCTCTTGTGCCTAGCTGGGCACGCCTGAGATGACACTGCAGCTCTGTCCCTGGCAGAGCTATAGATTGCCAGGGGTTAATTTGTGCACTGCCAACAAAACTGGGATTGGCTAATCTAATGGGTCTGTCAGCAGCGCCAAGAGTGCTCCGTCAGGCCCAGAGAAGTGCCTGCTGTTGCATTTGCCAGCTGCAATCTTTTTTTTATCATAAATAGAATATATGTTTGTTTTAACTTGGATTTCTAAGAAATTCACTTTAAAAATGTTATTATGTTATAGGTCATACACCAAGAGCTGATTGGCAGACATAGTTTGAGTTGCAGCTCCATAAAGGTGCTTTTTCACACCATATGCCGTGACCTGCGTTTTTCCATCAACTGATCAACGTAGGTCACACAGAGAGCAATTGTTCACACCACAACGTTGCTTAAGGTGGGTTGCTGACACCTTGCACAGCTGACAGGCACCTTTCCCAAGGTACTTTATATAGGCGTTGTTCACATCTATGCGCTGGGGGAGTGCATGCAATGCTGCACCCTATTGCACCTTGCATGCAGCAGCAGTGTAAGGTCTGCTGCTATGTCATTATTTCTTAATGCCACCCCAATGCACCTAGCCATCGCATGTGCATTGTATCGGTCCACTTCACATTATAACTTATTATTATTAATTATTACTATTGGTGCACCGAAATGAAAATTTTAAAACCGAAAATAAAAAAATGACAGGCTGAAATTGAAAATATATTTTTTTCTAAAATTTTTAAATTTTTTAAAATATATATATATTTTGTAAATGTTTTTATTTTTCTGCAGCCACTGTTATCAATTAACAGGAATCCTCTATACTGAGTGTTCCTGTTCATTCATACATTGTGGATATAGTATGAGTTACTATGGACACAATTATGACTGAACAGGAAGTGATTCATTGATTCATTCCTAACTGGTACATAGTAACTCATACTATGTAAAGGTATTTACAGTTGATCGCTGACTGCTTGTACCCAGGGCCGGCTCCGCCCGCTATGTTGCCATAGCGCCCTGTGCGGCCGCACTGCTCGCACACCCCTAAGGCCGGCCCTGCTTGTACCGCTCTCCATCCTGTCTCACTGTCACAGTTGAAGCGGTGGTGCAGGGAGGAGAGCTCGGTCTATTTTGACAGCTGACTCCTCCCCTTCACCGCCAGCTTGGTTTCCTGTGACAGCAAATGGCTGTCTCTGCCCCCACACTGCTCTCCATTCTAATTGGTCAGAGGAGGCTGTGAGGGGCAGTGGTGGAGGAGAGCCCAGCCTCCTGTGACACGCCGCAAGTTCCTCCCCCGCACCATTCGGCCTCCTCTGATAGTTTCTCTTCTGCCAGCTGGACGCTGCTCTGTGTCAGAGGCGACACAGAGCAGCACCCAGCGGGGATGAGAGAAACTATGGATGCAATTGCAGTCGAAAGATGGTACTTTTGGCATTTTGCCAAAAGTACAATTTTCGGCCAATATGTTTCGGTGGCCGAAATTGCAGTGCACCCCTATTTTATTATTATTGTTATGCTTTTCAGTGCAATTAGGGCTACATTCACACAGGCACTTCTGGGATTCCTGCAACAAGGACCTACAGATTCCCGAGGCAGGAGTCCCAGGTGTCCCAGTTCATATGCTCAGCTACTGTACCCATTGAAATAAATGACAGCAGCCACATCTATCAGCAGCATTCCACATGTAATCGTACATGGAATGATTGCAGGATAGATGTTTTCATCATCAATCATCTATTCAAAACCATGTGTTGTAACAAAGCATTGCACCGCCCCTACAAAATGTACACCAATGCGTGTGTGTTATATGGAGCATCAAATGCGTGGGCTCAGACCGCCGGAGCCTGGAGGAGAAGAGACTGCGGGGGCTAGTCTAGCAGTCAGGTGGGGCTGAGGATCGGGTGAGTATGTTTTTTATCTTGGACCCTAGACCGAAAAGAGCACTTAACTCTTATAGTGTGGGGATAGCCCCACTGCAAGGGTTCATTTTTTAACTGCCCAGAGTTCTTCTTTAAAATGCAGCATGTATGCAATACAAATGAATGCATGTAAATGCAACATACAGCAACTGAAGGAAAAACATTGAGAAAATAGGACTGAAAAATGCTCGACAACAGATAACATTATAACACATACCAACACGCATATAAATGCAATATTTATGAATTTTATTAATGCACACTGTTTCATAAGATCCAATTTAAAATCAAACACTGCAATCCACATCCAGAAAGGTTTTACGTAGATGAGCTTTGTTTCTACAATCTTCATTTTGTGTTCAGCTCATGCATTCAGGCTAATGCAGTACATACAGCTCACCTGCTTTTCCCAGTGTATGTGTAAGCAGGGCCGGATTTACTCTCCCTGCTGATCCAAGGCCAGGTTCCTCAATGCGCCCGCCTACCCAGCAAATACACCCCCCCCCCCCCCCGGGGATTTGCCAGCCTCCAGGG